GAAAAATTAACTAGCTATGCATAAAACAACTTTTTTTACTTGTTTAACTGTTAAGTATAACTCTGTCCACTTTTTTTCTCATACACATTTTGTAACTGTTCAAGCAGGATTTTTTTTTTTTTTTTCCTGGAGTGGAAGATCAAGTATAGCCTTACTTAAAATCAAACCTCTGTACTGCTAACAACTAATCATCAAGTGACTCAAGGATCCTGGCATTCTCTGGTTTTAAACAAACATCTCAAATTCTCCGATTTAAAAAAAAAAAAAAAAATCCACACTTAAAATGAAGTGCCACTATTTATTTATTTTTTAAAGTACTGGTAGGTATCCAGATTGTTTTAAAATTGTAAATATATCTATAAAACATCGTGTTCCATTGACACACAATATAATGGAATATATTTTCAGTTTCTTCTATACATAAAATGTGTCAATGGAACACGATGTTTTATAGATATATTTACAATTTTAAAACAATCTGGATACCTACCAGTACCTCAATCCCTATAATAAAATAAAGGGCAGAGTACCTATACATTTTGGCATTTGATTTTTGGTTTATCATGGAAAATCAGAGCTCCCTCTGCCCCCTTCACTCACAGCAACACAGGTCCAGGCCCCTCACTGCCAAGCCACAGCCCTGCTGGAGGGTGCCTCCAATTGCAAGAGCACCCAAGCCCCAGCTACAGAAAAGCAGAGCATAGCGCCTGGCTCCCCCACAGGCAGCACAGCCAGAGCAGAATCTGCTTTAGGCATACTGCTTAGATACATTAACATAACATCATAATTTTGTATATACCATGGAATTCAAACTGCAACGATCTACCAGTTTAAAGCTGATAATACCCTTTACAGAAATAATCCTTTTATGAAAAATTAGACAGTACAGCAAGTTTGTAATAGTTTTAAATTCTGTATTAAAAATTAATACATTAAATCCTTATAAAAGTGTAAGGCACATGCAATCTATGGTGTGCAAATTGTGTCTGACCTTTACATCACTTTTACTAACAAGCATTATTTTAATTTGGCGTGTCTATAAAGTAATCTTGTTTCCCCATGCACACTACACTACCTGGGGAGAAAAGTTATGGCATTGCGTAATTTAAAGCTTGTGATAGGAAGGTGATATGGCCACTGCTGCTGGCAGAATATAAAATGAAATAGTCAGAGTACAGATTCTTAAAGTGATGACGCTTACAATTTCAGAGTGTGAAGCAAGTCATGTACAGTTATGATACAACAATAATCATTCAAGGGATAACTTGGCAATTCCAGTCTTCTCATTAGTAACAGCCAGTGATATTCTCATGTTGTCACTATCATACAATGCTGAAGACCATAGAAAGATACTGTTCATAAGACACCTGAATCCAGCCATCTTGATCAGTATCATAGCGCCTGAATATATCAGTCAATCTCTGTAAAGAAACACAGACTACGTTACAGGAAGGTATTCTTAAATGGTGTGTATCATATATATACGACCGGTTTCCAGCAATAAAAATGACTTTTTATTGAGCCCTCAGGATAATGCAAGTGAATCTAAATTCTTATACAAAGATTGCTCTCCCTATACATGCTCCAGCTTTTTCATCCTGTTGTGACACGCTGTACCATGTTTAATTACAGCTTGTAGCCTCTACATTTCAGGTAGCTGTGTCTACCAGCAAAGCTTTAGTACATAATAGCTAAGCAGTAAGAGGGCAGAATTACTTTTGTATTAAATAGACACTAAACTGAAAAATAAAAGAATGGGACATCATTGCACCAGATTGCCTTGCAAACATACACTTTCTCTGTTACAACCTTGATTAGTAATGGGCTCCATCGCATTTTTCTGTACACAGCCATGCATCAATTATCACCCTCCTATTTTTTATCCAGCATTATTATTAGCATGACAAATTCCATAAGCACATTTGCTGTGCCAATTTGAAAACTGAAATTGCATTTTAAATTAAAGTTCTACATTTAAGTGTGATTATATTTAAAAAACAATTATATTCTTACATGCTTATCTACTTAACTATAAAAATAGAAGCTTTTTCTACCTTTTACTTCAGTTGGGTTTACATGGCCAACATAACTAGGGGAGACTGACTGTAATAATCAACAACCAGCTGCCAGATCAGATTTTAATTTTATCACACCTGTGTAGCCACAAGTGAAGCTGCAGTGACAGAAACAGATGGGATGTGGCTAGAAAAATCATCACTGCCACTCCATAGGGGATGATCCCAAACTCAATTTTCATAGGCTACATTGCAGGGTTAGTGATAAAATAAGAAGGAACACACTTTTTTTTTTTAAACAAGTTTCTCTCTGAAGGGTAGAACATGGAAACACACAAGGACACATCATATTTCAGACAAAAATTATCTTAAAGGGAAAAGAGCCTAGACATGGAGGATCATCATTTTGGGCTTTATTACAATATAACCTAGATACCTTAACTGTGGCATGACTACATTGCACTAGGTACTATACAAGTGGAGCGAGGGTGGCAGCTACCAGAAATAAGGAAGTGATATATTAATGCTTTTTTGTCCCCTGTGCTATACAGGTTGGATTGACTGGGCAGTAGCAAAGAGAATTAGGGGCTTATCTTGCCTTCTTTCTTGGTCTATCTAGTTCAGAGGCAGGGAATTATTTCAGGTGGAGGACAGCTTAATGATGTTTGGTGAGCTTTCAAGGGCTGCATGGGTAGCCCCGCCCCCTGGTTGCTGTCTTGGGACCAGAAGTCCCACCCCTGACCATTGACTGTTACTGGAAGTCCCCTTGCCCCCCCCCCCCCCCATCTTTTTTTTTGGGGGGGGGGGGGGTTGTCT